TTTTTTGTAACAAAATATCGATTTCTGCTGTCCCTGTATCGATACATTATTAGCAAACAAAATATCACAATACTACACAGTATCGATTTTTTCCCCCACCCCTAGTCTTAATGTGGTTACAGGAAAGGTAAAGTCATGCAATGGTTTTGGCTCATCACACTACCTCGTGAAACAGTTTAGCTCACTCTTTACTTGTTAAACTGTTCTTCTGCATAAGCTGTACTGTATATATGGCTGCAGGGGAGGGAGCAGTCCTACAAACACGAGTGACTTCAGAGTCCCTCGCACTTAATGCATCAAACAGCCAGGCTCACGTTGTTTTGTTGCAATCACATTGGTTGATGTGATAAAGGTTGTTGCTTCAAACAGCCTTTGGTGCTTTTTAGTGATTCTGCATGAGTTTTTGAGCTCGGCTGGTTAAAGGTGTTTGAATTACAAACAGACAACAACTTGCGAGTTTGAGAATGCCTCTGTGGTAATACAAAAGATAAATTAAGCTTTGTGTTAAATTTTTGAGTCATGCTTGCTATCAAGTGTTTTGTTTTTGAATCATGCTTTCTGAAAAGCTCATTTTTAGATATGCAAGTGAGGCATTATGTGTTTAATTTAGCATATTTTTTCAGACCATTGGATAACATGGTGTTTAAAGTTCTTTAACTGTTGTTGCGACAAATTGATATACCAAGTGTTTTTATTACTCCACAAATCACAAACTGCTGTCAGTAGTTGGAAAAAGTCCATTGACTCTTTGTTTTCAGTGATAAGATGTTCAAGAGGTCAGGCTTTTTATATATGGAAAAAGTCCTACTGTGAAAAAAGTGCTACTGAAATAAGGATTTCTGGCTGAGTGTATGAGGAAAAATGAATAATATGTGATTTAGGAAGAACACCCAGATGTATATTTTGGATGTTTCTTTTCCCGTGTGGTGAGAAATAGATGTTATGGAAACAAATCTTAAAATTGCAATTATGATTTTTCATTGAGCAGCCAGTGAAAGGTGTTTGCGTCATATATATCCTGTCCTTCATGTTATCTGATATGAACAGAAATGCATGCTATGTACAGTAGAACCTGTAATCTTGAACTCCACATACTGTATTTGAAAATACTACGTGACTCAGATTTTCACAGATTTGCAGTGACTGTAACTCCTCGATGTGGTTTTTCTTACTTGTGCAGTCCCGCCACAGAGAGAAGCTCCAGCACGGGGACAGAACGGTCAAATCATGATTCTGTTTTCTCTAGACTGTGGAAAATTGTGCCTCACTCATGACTCAGAAGGATAAATTACTTGAGCTGCTTTTTAAATTCTTCACTTTCTTTTGTAAAAAAAAAATAGTACATTGGAAAAATGGTCAGAGGGGAAATTAACAGACTTTTCCTCTGTTTCTCTCTTGCTAAAGACATCTACCCATATCCTTACCTTATTGATTACACAGGTATTCCGTTTATTGCTTTTTGGAAGCCTGTTGCTCATTTTTGTGTGTGGACTGCCAATAATATGAAGAAAGAAACATTTCTTTTAAAGCATGTGTGTACAGTTTGAGACTAACAATATTATCTTTGTATAAGAGGAGGTTGGAGGAGCTTTGTTAGACGCCCTGCACAGATAGAGATCAGTAACTAAACAGAGATATAGTTTTCAGTTATAGACTTTGGTGAGTGGTGCAGGAATAAACTTTTAAACATTTGTAGATTTATACAAGAACACTTTTGGCAGGACTACCTTTGCTGCCTTTCTTAATCGTTTACCTTTATGGCATTTTAAATTTACAGATAGATAGCGGAGGAGAATGGCTGAGGCTGTGGCTTACTAGCAGGTTAAATATACCCCAAGTGTTTACCCCTAGTTGGTCAACTCGCTTTGGAGCAGGTGGCAGACCACGGCAGCACATTTGCTTTGCCTTTTGTAGTGTTTCGTTTTCAGTTTGATTGTGATCCGATTGCAGTAAAAAGGAGTTGAACTGGGTCTGAGCTCGTCCTCCTGTGCTTGTCTGTGGGGGTTGGAGCAGTAGCGTTATCAGCAGTGAACAGGCACACATACACAACACACATATCTCAACTAACTGATCAGACACAAGGACACATATATTTAAAAAAACAAAAATGAAAATTAATGAGTAAATGTGATTTGGCAGGCCAACATGGAGGTAGAATGAAAGTTGCTGTAATTTATGGGGTATTTTTGTGTATTTTCTTTGCTGTTTTATCCAGTGTGATTTGTTAGTATAATATGATATTTTACATGCCAGTTCCAGTTTTAACTAAGTTATTATATAGTCTCCAAGTTTGGCTTTGAAAGGCAGTGTTGGAACAGTGCAGCTATATGTATATGTGGAAATGTTTTCTCTTACCGCCTGCTGCCTGATTCAGACTTTCATGGTCTGGTTAGCACCAATCCTAACAAATCATGCTCAGCCCTTTTTTGCTTTGAACTGTGTCAATGCATTTGAAGCCTGCTTTGAAATGAAGTGTGCAGCTTCTGACAAAAGCAATGATCTAGATATCATGTCTGGTTCAGTATGCATGCACTATTTTCACAAATGAGACGTACTGAAGGACAAATTTAAGCTTTGCAGTGTGCAATATTTTTAGCCATTTAATTGAAAACGACAGTGATGATGCTTAAAATCTTAAAGCATGAGAACCATTTATAGATTTGCATTGCTTCTGATATAGATGTGTGCTGCATGCCCTCATGCTCAAACAACTGACACCTCTATCTCAAGAAAAATCTGTTATGTTATATTTAGACCCACACTAAGTAAAGCTCAGTGAAGCATTAAGGTGTGAATTTTCACACAACTCTTATAGTAGGAACATCTATAAATGTAGTATAATAGTTGTACACAGTGCTTTTTTTTTGTGTATGTGATCTGAAAACAACTTGGTGTACACGAATCTTACCTCAGGGGCAGAGGATGACGAGTGGGACGATGAATGGGATGACATGAAATCCACTGGTTATGCTGAGTCAGAAGCCGGAGAAAGTGGAGCACTGCAGAGGGGCGGATCACATGCAACTTCAATGAAAATCTCCCTCAACAAGTAAGAGTTAATAAGTCAGTAATGTGCCTGGCTTCAAATCAGCTTTTAACATAAAATAAGCTGCACTGTACAGTTTGAGCTGCTGATCAGAGTTTGGACAGCAGAATTTACTTCAGCCAAAGTGTGTTCAGGCTCTTACTGTAGATAATAATAAACTGAGTTGCAGCAGCACAGAGTAATCTTGTTCTAATGACGGTAACATCGTATCAAATAACTGCTCTACACAAGACTAATCGGGAAATTTTGTCTTGTGTCTTTGAGCAGGTTCCCTGGGTTCTCCAAGTCGGGTCCGGAGCTTTACCTCCTTTGCAAGCAGCTTGTAAAGGGCAAAGACAGGCTTCCAATTTATGTAGGTCATCTCCAAAAATGTTTTTTTTTGTGTTTTTCTTTAGTTCTGTTAGAACATCAACATGCGTCTTATTAAGTTATTACACAGAAGTCACCAGTCATAATTAAAAACCTATGGCTAAATTATTTCTGTAGAGATATTTGCCTTTATATAAAGTAGTATTGTAGCATCTTTTGCCAGCTCGCCATATGTTTGTCTGGCGCAGTAGACTTCTGAACCTTCATGTTTTGTGCTCAGACGGGAGAAGTTGGTCCAGTGTGGTCTTACCCAGAAGCCCAGCTAGACTGTGTTGTAGCTGATCCCAAAAAAGGCTCAAAGATGTATGGCCTCAAGAGCTACATTGAGTACCAAGTCACACCCAGTGTAAGTATCCAAGAGCTATTTTTTAGGTTATCAAATCAACTAAATGCACTAAGCTAATCTTTAGACGCATAAATAAATATAAGGAGGACTGAAATGTATATCTTTACTTCCTTTAATGGAAGCTGTACTTTTTTTCCCCCTGGCATGCAGACCACAAACCGGCCCGTCAATCACAGATATAAACACTTTGACTGGTTGTATGAAAGGCTTCTGGAAAAATTTGGGTCAGCCATTCCCATCCCTTCTTTACCAGATAAGCAGGTTACAGGTAGGTAACTAGCCAATAAATGCGTATGGCTGAATATATTTATTTTTTCCGTTCTTTATGCATTGATCTCTTTTAAAAGGCCGTTTCGAGGAAGAGTTTATTAAGATGCGTATGGAGCGGTTACAGGGTTGGATGACCAGGATGTGCAGGCACCCCGTTATTTCCAGCAGTGAAGTATTTCAGCTTTTCGTCACCTACAAGGATGAGAAGGTAAACTGATACATCCACTTCCCATCTTTTAAGGTCTTTGAGTATGTGTTCTAAGACTGTGTTGCTGAAATCAGTCTTACACGAATGATTTGGGGTGTCAGTTAGTTATTTAAAGCTAATGTAACAAAATAATATGGAATATGTAACTACAGAATAACTAGCTATTGTCAGTTGACTGAGGTGACATGTGTCCATGTTGGTGTACAACTAAAAAGGTACTCTTGGCTGAGCCCTTATTTCCCAAGCGATGGATCTGCATGTTTGATTTGGCACAGATTTTGCACTGGATGCCCTTCCTGACACAATCCTCCCATTCATCCAGGATTGGGACCTCCGCACAGGAAGGCATCACCTTGTGGTGCTGTTTAGCAGTTGCATTTAATCAGTTAATTGCTCACAGATGTAAATTCTAGACTAGACAGACAGCCTAACTAGCAAAAACTAATTAAAACCATGCAGAAACAGCTGGATATGGACTCCCATAGTTGTCCGGTTGCCCAGCCTTCTGTATGGAAGTCTTGTCTCTGGAAAGGCATGAAGGAATTTCTTTAACATTGTCATAAATATTAATTGTGCCCCAAATGAACTGAATTTGCCGGTTATGATTTTGACCATAACTTGTAATAATTAGCGTAATAATTATCAACACCAGACTGAAATGTCTGTTCAAAAAGTGCAAACTCAGCTTCAGTTTGATTTTTTTAAAGTATCGCAGAAACCCTTTTCCGGCCACGACTATAAACTGCAAAGCAGTAGCAAACAACCGCAGGAAGTTAATTCTACTTTCTTTCAGCCAAATGTTGCAGATCAAAACTAAGATTGTTATTACTAATAGTTTAGGGTTGGGGCTTATTTTGTGGCATTAATTATTTCTTTTTTAATTAAAACAATTGATTGTTACAGGACTGGAAGATGGGCAAGAGAAAAGCAGAGAAGGATGAGACGGTAGGAGTGATGATCTTCTCCACAATTGAGCCTGAAGCTCCAGACCTGGACCTGATAGAAGTGTGAGTTTTACCAAGAGAAACTATAGCACCGAAAAGTGTTTATGTAACTTGTGTGTAGTACTGTATTGCGTAATTCATGCCAGTGGTGTTCCTCATTCACAGAGAACAGAAATGTGAGCAGTTTAGCAGGTTTACCAAATCCATGGATGACGGGGTGAAGGAAATCCTCACAGTGGGGCATGAACATTGGAAGAGATGCACAGGCCGTATGTTCACACTGCACTCGAGCTAAATAAGTGTTTAGCACGCCTAGGCCACACCTTAAGTCTGTGCTGTAATTACTATTTACATTAAATGTTCATTATTCTGAATATTTTGTCAACTTAGAAAGATGGGGGGAAAAATGTCTTTGTTACTTTGTTCATTTGTTTTACCATAGCTCTGCCCAAAGAGTATCAGAGAATCGGCAAAGCCTTCCAAAACCTTTCCTCTGTCTTCACCAGCAGCGGATACCAAGGTACGGAGTACAAATATCGATTCAGCGTCATGTGTAATTTGGAACACTTGAGGCATTTTCCTGGGTGTAAGGTGTTCTGTGTTTGTCACACCGTTGTCTCGGGTTACAGCTGAAGACATCTGGAGCAATCAGAGCTATGCTGTAATTTGTTATGTGGACTTTGGTTTTGAAATCGAGTGTTCGTTATTGACTGTTGGGAAACAGTAGGATGTATTTTAACGGTGTTTCTCGCTGCAGGTGAGTCAGCCCTAACCGATGCCATGACAGCAGCTGGGAAGACATACGAAGAGATAGCTCAGCTGGTTGCAGAGCAGGTACGTACTTTGACCTCTGCTGTAAAATAATCTAATGTGACTGCTATTAAAAGTAAGAGAAATGTGTCTACCCTTACTTTTCCTCTTGTGATTATGTCTGAAAACTCACACACACACAAAACCCCACCCCTCTCCATAAAGAGAGAGGGGTGGGGCAACTTCTTTCTGTGGCCATTATCTGTGTTCACTGCATGTCTCAATATCTGTGAGCATTTCCCAGTTCCCCTGTTGCTGACCTCTTTAACCCAGCGTCCTGCTCGTCAGTTTCTATCTGTGCAGGAAGAGGCTTACGGCAAACTTATTCCTTGTGCTTCCTTAGTTTTGCTTTGACTCGTGTATCAATGTGGCTTTTTTGTTTTTTTTGACTGAATGACCCGATGAGTGTGCAAAGTAATAAAGTCCATTCTTGGCCTTTTTGATGTCCCAGCAGCTTCCAGAGGAAGGATTTGTCTGGTAAGCTCGTCCTGCTCCAGGCAGACTTTGTTAGTGATTTGGTAGAATTCTGATTTTAGTTGAATGAAACCTGTGATGCGGTTTAGTGTTGGAGAAATACGATCACTAGACACGGATTCATCTCAGGGCACAAAAGGAACCAGTCCAATTTATCTGATGTTATCCAAAATGGATGCAAACAGCACAATAACGTCAATAGCGTGCAAAGGAATTGGCACTACAATTTAAAATGATAGTTTGGCTAAATATTTTGTTTTTATTTCTGTGCCATCTCATCCCAGTGTGTCTCCCTGTTGGATGTTCCTCTGAATACATGATGTTTTATATATAGTACTGCTATTTAAAAAAAAAAAAAAAAACTACACTGAATTATGGCTTCATTGTATTTTCTCTTATCAGGCTCTTGCATTCCTTCCTGTTTTACTTTCTTCTATTTTTAAGTACTGGTGACTTTTACCTTTTTACATTTATATTCATGTTTGTGTCTATTTTTGTTTTCTCTCAGCCCAAGAAAGACCTCCACCATCTCATGGAGACCAACAATGAATACAAAGGACTACTTGGATGTTTTCCAGATACCATTGGAGTCCATAAGGTACACTAACACCCATGCCACAGGAAATGGGCTGGAATGTGATAATTTGCCGTTATGGGGTATCTGATAGGAACAGAGGTGCTGTGTGTTCCACAATATAGATAGTACAGACATCATACCAACATCTTCCTTTATTTACACATATACACACAGCCCCACATGCTAACACATACACTTTCAACCTTCAACTACAGTATAACGATACCTGTTTAAAATATGTCACCGCCTCTATATCACTACTGCACCTTTACAATATATGTCAAGTGTTTAAGTTAATTATTATCCCTTTTCTTTGCCTAAGATTACAAAAAACTTGGGAATGTGTATGCACACACATTTTGCATGTACAGTCTTTTTGAGGGACCCAGTGCTTTTTTTAAGTACTTTCTAAGTAATATAGAAGAAAATTGCCTATGCACTCCATACTAATTTGTGAGCAATTTCTGTTTTTCATAGTTATTATCATTGCAAAGTGAAAACTCTGAAGCCCCCGACTGTTGATGTCTGGGACCTGTACTATTTGCAGAAATCACTATAGCGGAACTTCCCAAAACTGGTCAACACACACTCAAACAATCTACGATAGGGTAAAAATAGCACAGCAGGGGAAAAACATGCATATCTGATTTTTGGTTGTACTGTCCCTTTTATCAGATAGAAGCAAAAATTAACAAGTAGCAGTGTGTGCATATTATTATACAAGGTTTAAATAGTCTAACTAAAGTGCCTTATGTTTACTTTTGGTCCCTGCAGGCAGCCATAGACAAAGTGAAGGAGGGTGACAAGCTGGTAGCCGCCAGTAAAATTACTCAGCAGGACAAAGTCACCATGGCTAAACGTGCCAGCACCATGTCTTACGCATTACAAGGTACAGCACGGTCACAGATAATGAAGTAATTTGCTTTATCGCTGCATGCAGGCTGATCACCGTGGTTTCTCTTGTCTTGTGCTGCAGCTGAAATGAACCATTTCCATAGCAACCGTATCTATGACTACAACAGGGTCATGCAGTTGTACCTGGAGGAGCAAGTCAAATTTTACGAGACGGTAAAGGCATTTTAATAGAGCATTTCTCACAGTAAATTTGACTGTGAAACAGTTTGTCCTTTTCACTTCCTTATTACCTGGAAAGAAAGTAGTTTCATACCAAAGTGACGATATGAAGGCGTCACATGACCTTTTTGTATTAATGCTCGTTTGTCTTCCTCTGCACCCCCCCCACCCCCCCACCCCCAGATCGCAGCGAAGCTGAGACAAGCGCACAGTCAGTTCACTACAATGTGAAAGCGGCCGCTGGCTGTCTTGCACTAAGAGACGAGAAGATTTAAACCAGCTCAAGATCCAAAATAATTTTGCTTATTTTGCATTTTTCAACCCCTGTCCTCACTTCTGTTTTTCTCTTACCTCATCTCCTCTTTTTACAACTCATCCCAACAGTCCCTGCTTTGCGGTATCCGCTACTTCGATGTTAAAGAGTACGAACGACATCTGAAAAGGCTTCAAGAGTGACAGCAGCTGTACTTCTTAACACAGACAGGGGGAAAAAATCCATGTTGTAGTTATAGTGGCAATGAAATCAAACCCTGGCAATTCTTTAACGTGATACAGTTTGTTTTTTTTTTGTTTTTTTGTACAGCTTCACGTGCAAACATAACCATCTATCTCAAGGTAACGCTCTGCAGCTTTTCACTTTTATTCCATGTTAATAGTCATATAGGAAAGGACGCCAAATACCAAAGCTATTCTCCGCTCTGCCAATAAGGACAGCCAGGATATATTCAAGCTTTACTGTAGGTTCATTTGAATAATTTTGTTACCATATATAGTATTTATATGTAAAAAGAAATTTACACTATTGTTAGCAGAAGCATTCCTTTAAGGATTCAAATCTTGAAAGAGTTAGCAAAGGCAGTGTGTACGTCCTCCCTGTGTGTGACCGCCACTCGCAGCTCCCAGCTCCCCTTCATCCCACACTTCCTCAAAAGCGAACAGGAAGCTCCACCTTCTTCCTGTTTTCCCTTTTGAGAAAAATCGAAATGGTCAACCTGGTTGGCACCCCAAAGGTCCTGCGTACTCACACACTGCAGTTTGCATTTTAAGAAAAAGAATCTGGAATGAGTCTTTTTTTTTTTCTATTCTTTTTTTTCTTTTCTTTTCTGTTCTGTTCTTTTTTTCTTTTTTAAAACGTTTAAACTAAAAGTCATTGGATCAGTGCTTCCCTGCCACACTAGTTAACTTTCTCTCAGTACTTTGAAAGAATATTTGCCATTGTTTGACGCAGTCATTGTGTTTGACATGATGGTACAAGAATAAAGTCATCTGTAAGAATTCGTACTATTAGAGGAGTTTGGAAGAGCCATGAATTATATGTTCTTGTTTTTGCTTATCACCGCCCAGTTTTCAAATCAATCTCTAATCTTGTTCACTCTTTGTTAGAAAATATAAATTCTACTGCACCTATCAGGGGTTTCTTGTAATTGATATATTATGTATAGAACTATTTGCAATACACATGTCATTTAAAAAGAAGCAAAAATTCAGTTTGATTTATTAAACAATGATTTGTACTCATTAGGATGTCATTTATTGCGTGTGTGTGTCTTTGTGTGTTTTGAAAGAGCCCTCATCTTGTTCTCTGACTCGGAGGGGACGGCACACTACGCACCCGGATTTCCTCACACTAAAGCCTTTATTCGCTGCAGCAGATTCTTGCGTAGATATGGACAGGAATGGGAATGAGCTGGCAGCTTGTGTGAAGAGTGCATTTTGTGAATTCTTGTTGTGAAGGAAGTGAAAGAGCCCTTTTTACCCTGCTCTCATTTCACGCTGCCATCAGGTGCAGTTGTTCATGTAGGCCACAGTGGCTATATGAATAGATCTTATCAAATGGAATCACCCGCAGTGTGTTTATTGCTTCACAAGACCATATAGAAAGCTTGCAGAATTATTTTCCAGTTTTTGCAAGAATTTGAACTGATAATTTGCAATCCTGAGGCTTTTTGGGAATATATCTGCTAAACACATACCATATTATCATACTATAGTAACATGAAATGCTAATGGACTGTGGAAACCCCAGGTTTAAATCAATACGATGTAAGTAACTAACACAGATAATGTGTAGAATGATTATACAGCAATGAATGCCATTCTATTAAAAAAAGATGTCTATGGTCATGCATAACTTACGAGGCATAGAAAGTGCTGTGCATTTAGTACTCAGTGCTTTAAAGTGCCAACTGTAGGAGTCTGAGTCCCGCACAGTCTAATTTCCAACTCACATGAGCTACATCCTGCTCATGTGCTCAGCTGCACATTTGCTGCTCAGTACTACCTCTTTCTGGCACCATGGCCACAGAGACTGATTTGATTGTGTCACTTTTATATGGCATGTGGTGTGAGAACAAACACTTGGCAATTACATTATTTTATTTTATTTTTTGCTGTAATTACTGCA